CAACGCGATAACAAATCTAACATGTTCAAAACGCCTTCGCCTTCAAAGCACAAAGAAAGTGGGTACAAACAATAATACCATAAAACGCGTAGGGATACCTGCGTTCTCAGAACTTTCAGAAACAAAAAGTTTGAAAATACTTCATCTAATGCAATGAATGACACATTAGAACTTCCCAAGCATATAACGACGAGCGCATCAGCGTAACATCTAAAGTCTCAGTAACTCCCACAACAAACTAGTGATGCTAAAACGGCACGTTCTTTCTCGCCCGTACTTTCACGCAAAATTACTCGAAAAGGAGACAAATTTTCGAAAAATAGTACGTGATCTTATTACAAAATCTACCTTTAAGGAACAGTTTTCATTAAAGGAAAATATATGTCTTTAATATTTTAGTTATAGGAGGACGCCGAAAAAATTGAACTTTGAAAGTTTTCGAAAAATGAGGATTTCAACGAACATGATACCTGCACCATTCTCGTAAACATTCTTCACACTACACAACAACAAAAATTAATCAAAATCAATGGAGCTTTTTTTTTATTTGAAATATGTCCCAGGGGTTTCACGTAAAAAAAAATATCAATTGAAAATTCACAGAGGCCTCTGCATCAGCCTCATCAATTACGGAATTTCAATTTTGGAGAAAATGGGTTGTACGGTTTAGCTATTGGTGTTTTTCATATACTGACATACGGACAGACATTTTACCGTCATTCGATTCTTCGGTATTAAGGACCCACAAAACATGCATTTTGGCTACACCACATGTTAGAGAATTGTTTTTAATTAACAAATGGATTTATCCAATTTTTTTTTACCAGGGTTATGTAATAATCGTTTTTCTGCCGCAAATTCGCCGTTTTGTCATGCAGCGTTTCATAACTTTCTCTCTACTCCGTAGCGAGAAAAAGAAAAAGAAGGTTCCGTCATACACTGACGCGCAAAGCATTTAGTCGCACAGTCTACGGCTCCCGCGGCCCGTGGCTTACACACGTATCAATTCATACACTGCCCGCCACTCCTCCAACCCACCAACATACCCAATTTTTGCCATTCCCCCCACACAACACACCACCCCACAACCCCGCGCATTACACACCACAAGGCCCCTCATTCCTACACTCCCAACCCCCCCCACACACACACTAACCCAGCCGCCCTCCGAACCCACTCTCGCACACGCTTGTTCACGCGGGGACTCACATACACACTCGCCCACCGATCCCAGCAACTCTCAGCCCCTTGCCCACCACCGCCCGGCGCCCCGCCGCGAAGACACACATGCGGCTCCGCGCGGTGTCCTTCGCAGCGCCCAACGCCGCTCGCGACCGGGCCCTCCTGCGCCGCTCGCCGCGGTCCGGCATTCCGGAGGTGATTCGACTCTGACTGTGAGGACAGCCGGCCGCGCTCCGCACACTCGCCACGCCACGCCTCACCACCTCCCCCTGGCCCCGCCCGCCCGCCACCCGTCTCGTCCTTCTCGTCGCGTATCCCCGCCCCACCTTGCCCCGCCCGCGTCGCCCCGGTCGCGCCGTCTTCCCACTCGCCTCATCCCCGCTCACCCCTGCTCGCCCCGCGTCGCCCCGCCTCGCCCCGCTGCTCCGCCTCGCCCCGCTCGCCCGCCTGCGCCCCGCCTCGCGCCCGGCCTTCGCTCCGCCTCGCGCTCCGCGCTCGCCCCGCCTCGCCCCGCCTGCCCGCCTCGCCCCGCCTCGCCCGCCTTGCGCCACTGCTCCCTCGCCCGCGCCCGCCCCGGCGTTGTTCAGCCAGTCCCGTCCCGTTCTGCCATCGCCCAACCCTGTCCCCCGCCCCGCCCGCCAAAAGGCCCAGCCCGCACGCCCAGCGCCGCACAGCCCCGCCTACGCCACGCTCCGCAAAACTTCAACTCACCGTCCGCCGTCGCGCCCCCGTTTTTTCCCGCGTTGCCAGCGGCCTCTTACCCTCCCTCGTCGTGGTTTCGTACAGGAAAAATTTTACAGGGTGGGGCAGTGTCCTTCCTTACGAAGTACTTGGAAGTGTGATTGAATTTTTCAAGGAAGCATGTAAAAAAAATTGTTATTTTTTTTTCCTTTTACCCCCCCAAACCCCACAAAATTATCCCCCAAAATTTTTCCTCCCTTCTTTTTTTTTTCCC